AAAGTAAATAATTAGAAAAAAGGATCTTATCAGATTTTTTATAGCTATGATATTATTCTTACGAAATTCCGGAAAAGGATATTACAAGTTTTAATATGAATTAGGGATGTGCAGTTTCAGTGAAAACTGTCAGTATTATACCGACACTGTCTACACTGTGAGTACAGTGTACACTGCCTCAGTGGTGACACCGACACTGTTTGAACTGAGGATGCAGTGTATACCGACACTGCTGGAACTGAGAGCACGGTGTACACTAACACTGTGTTCATCGATATATTTAAATTACGTGTCAGGTTGAATGCCATATAAATCTGTAGTTCAGTTAGCACAGTATCAGTGTACACTATAGTTTCAGTTCAGACAGTGTCGGTGCCACCACTGATGCACTGACCGTCAGTGTAATATTATCGGTGTTCAGTATACTGATACTGCACATTGCTGATATGAATTTGTATTATCGTATCGATTTATGCCTTGATAAAAAACAAATCATTGAGAACATGTTTTTATCATTATCAAGTACACATAATATATCTATTAAGACTGATTTACTCGATAATCTTATGTTTTCATTAGATAATAATCATTACCCGAGAGAAGAAATGGATCTTTTGATTCATGTTTTTTAATTAAATCCGATTCACCAGTTAATGATGATTCATCAACTTTAAGATCATTTGATTGTACAACAACACCATCAGCTGGTAATAAATCTCCATATTTAACTTGACATATATCTCCTACGACGATTTCTTTAATTGGAATTTGTTTAACAATACTATTTCTAACGACATTAAATTTTTGATCAAGTTCAATTTTTGATTGAAGACCACGAAATTGTCGTTCTTTTGTCCAATCATTAAATGCTGTTACAAGAACAACAACTATTACAGCAATAATAATTGCTGCACCTTCAATCCATTCAACATTTGCTTCTTCTACAAGAAAATAAAATAAAAATAAAAATCCTTTTTTGTTTTTGTTTTATAAATTTAAATTTACTTGGTTTAGTTGCAGATTCAAATGTATCTTCACTTGGATGATAAAATGATAGACAAAATGAAATGATAGCACAAATAATAAGTATAACAAGTGTAACATCTTGAAGAGCTTCAAACATAAGACGAAAGAATGTTTTAGGTGGTTTAGGGGGAATTTCATTGCGGCCAAATGCTGCTACACGTAGGGATAGATCACTTGCATTTTCGGATAAACCTTAAAATGAAAATGTTGTTTTTTTATTTATTTGAAGAATAGTTTTTAAATTTTACCTGTAATTAAATTTGTTTTCAATCTTTGTCCAATACCACTAAGACCACCATGAATTTCATTAATTTCTCTAACACCATCGTGGCCACGTGTTTGCATTAATGTTTTTAAATCTTTAAGTGATATTCCAAATTCTCGACCGGCTTCTTCAGATAAAGCATCAAGATTTGCTTGATCAGCTTTTCTCTTTTTCGCCATGTTGTCGTCTTTTTTTGGTTTTTGTTTTATTCGTTTATATTAAATAATATCTATTGAGATAAATTGAGTTTTAAAAATTTATTCCGTCGTTGAAGAAATAAGAAAGTTAATTTCATGTTTTATTCAACATATAACGACAGATAAATCTTAAAAGGAAAAACGATTATATTCAACTATCGATGATGGTTTATAATATAATCCATCGAATAGTATAATTTAACCTTTTTCATAGCAATCAATAGATTGACATATGATTTATCGCATAAAACAACATATGAAATCTCTCAAAGAGCATGAATAAGTAGCGAAGTATTTATCATGATATGACATATGTCATGTTATAAATTGGTCAATCTTATTCATTGTTACCTGGTGGTCTCATTTCTAACTTGGTTATTCAAATAACGTAGTTTCTCTTTTCTTTTCATACTACATTATGCGGTTAGTCGAGCGAAGGAAGAAAAAAGAAATAGCAAATAATGCTGAAGACTACATGCAACTGATAACAAGAATAGTAAGAAAAAATTGTTGTAGTAATAGAAAAAAAATCAGAGTTACTTGCCAGTAATGATGTATATATGCCAACTACTAACAAGAATAAAATCAGAATAAGAAGCTAATCAAATAATCTGACTTCACAAGAGTTATACTGATTTCTTTTTGCTCGAGAAAAAAAAAGATGAAGAAGAAGAAGAAGAAGAAAAAAAAATAAATGAGCATAAAATATAATAAGTGTTAAAACATAAAAAGAAAAAAAAATGATCAATACTAGCACAGGTGTTAAAGCAAAAAATATGATTAACATGTTTTTTTTTGTATAAAAGTGAATAAAAAGGGCAAAAAAAAATTACTATCATCAACAGCAATGAATACTATTCAGATAATAACTATTAATGGTATGTTATTATTTTCGACTACTCTCATTCTTACTTCTTCCTCTTCATTCAGAAGCCGGCAAGGGAAATAGAAAATTACTATTCTCGTTCTGTCGGTTTTTTTCAATATTGCTCTTTTTTTTTCTTCTCTTGCACTTTTTTTCTAACGCACACGTCTTACTTTGTCATCATCATTATCAATACTGGTAAAAAAGATTGCATAAGCAAGAACAGATAAAAAAAAATTGACAAAGGCGTATGCACTCTTTTAATCTATACAAATAACCTCGTCTGACGAAAATAGAAAAATATGCACCCGCATGAAAACATCATTCTTTTTCTTTTTTTTGTTTGTAATGACTAATGTATACGTGCTTTTTACTAGTAATAGACCAAAATAGTATTGCGTTGATAATATCAGCAAAAAAATTAGAAAATGAGTCTTGTATATGTGTACGTGCCTAATGAACCAGTGCACAAGATTTCTGATAAAGAACAACTTTCTTCTATTTGCATATAAAATTTACTTATTTTTTTTCCTAAATAAATATAATAGAAAAAAAAGACCTTATATTTCATGTATGTATTCCCTAGTGACTATAGAAATAATAATCTGAATGAAAAATAGTCATTGTCATCTTACCCATGGGATTTTTTTGCTAAACATTTGTACAGTCAGTTAATATTCTTTCTTCTCATTACACGAGAGTAAAATCGTGACTTGGCTACTAATCCTTCCTGTAAGTTCTCACTATTTTTCTCGATTCTCTAGGTTAATGATGGTGATAGTTGTTGTTGTTGTTTTTCCCGTTGTCGACATTTTCTTTCTCTGTCTAGCTTGCACTCTCTCTCTCTCGCTCTCGTTTTCAAGCGAACGCACCATCTCGTTCTTCCAATCGACAACACATTTTTTCTGTCGTTCTCCTACATTTTCATTACAACTAGTTTTTCTCTTGTGACAATATGTTCGGAGGAATAGTAACGGAACTCGATTTTTCCCTTCTTCTTCTTCTTCTCCTCCTCCTTTTTTTCCGCTTTTTTTCTCTTATCAAGCGAGCGTTTGCTTTTGCGCGTTGATTGGGATGTCGAACTCTTTGTTGACGGCATCATATAAAACCCTTTTCTGACAAGATGAAAATCGCTTATCATATCATCATCATTTCTCTATTGAAGATAGACGAACGCACGAGCAAATGACAAAGTACGATCAATGATTATTATTGATACTGAATACACTAAGAAGAAGAAAAAAAAAGAATCTCTATAAAATATAACAACAAATATAGAAAGCAATATAGATCTGTGCATACAGGAAATTAGTATATGTTATGACGAGTAGTACCATACGAACTATTTCCGCTTCGATAGGTTTGTTTTACTGAATCAAGTTCATCAAAACAAAAGAAAATAACGATTATAAGAAAAAAAGATTAAAAAACAATATTCTATACGTATATTTATTTCAATAATTGGAAAATATCAACCATATGAATGGAACGAATAAGCGAGTCTTTATGAACTATATCTATTTATGGCGAGTATAAACCAATTGTTATTTCTAGATGGTGCTAAAGAATAAAATCTTTATTTTTATTTTTAGTATGAAATTTTTGATATTAAAAAAATCAAATTTATTTCATCTAATAATTAAATCTTGAAAAAAAGTAATATTATATGATGAGGTCGCTAGTTAACAATTGTTTTTTTTATATACTCATCATATCTACTTGTGTAAATACTATTAACATTTGAGATCTAACTATTATTTCGAAACGGAGAATTCTTTTGATTGATTAAACATTACGGAAAGATGCTAGATATATATTTGATGAAACGATTTTCTTCTTTTTTTTAGTTATAAATAATTCATTGATAAAAGAAATTAGTGTGATAGATTTTTTCTTCTTCTTCTTCTTCAAGACGATTAACAGATGACTAACCAAACCAAAACTTATATTATCTGTCATTAGAAAAAAAATTTTCAGTTTATTCATGAGAAAATAATCAAGTTTTGTTTTCTTCAATCTATGAAATTAAGCGAGAAAAAGAATTATTTTCTTGTTTATATGTCCTTGAAAAAATCTCTCTTGCTTTTAACTACTTATTTTAGACATGGGAAAATCTTTGATTTTCTTTCTCAAATTGAAAACATAAATGTTTTTACATAAAACATTGTATGTCTAAATAAAATGTCATATAAAAATAGAAATTTCTTCATGCATAATAAAACCTACTTTACAAAACATGTCTTTTTATATCCAGATAAAAAATCACGATTTTGCTTTGTATCACTATTAATATTTTTCTTCGACATAGAAATTCATACTGACATTATTGTTAACATAATTTCCTTTTAATAATAGTAAACATAAAATTGAATATTTTTAGATACTATATCACGTATAGATAATTGCATTTAATTAGATAGAATTTTAGAAAAAAAATATATTATTATATGTTTCTATTTTTATTAAATTATCTAATTAAAAATTCATAAGAAAAGTTCAATTATGAAAACAAAAATATTCCACTTCAAAGATTACTGAACAGAATAATTAAAATTATCTCATGAATACTTTATTGACAGTTTATTTAATACATTTTACAAATAACAAAACTTGAAACTAGTATAGTTCCTGTAACGACTGTCGTCTTCTCAGTTCTTTGAGTAGTCATCAACATAGTTTATAAATAGACAATAAATGATCTTTAATTGAATAATACATATGGTTTGAAGCGATATAGTTCTTCGATTGTGAAAATAATAGGTCGACATGTTCTCGTCGTTTCATATAGTACTTAATGCTCTATCATATTTTCATCTAATAAAGATCTTTTAATTTGCAAATTCATATTAACACATTTTCGAGATTAAAAAAAAGATATTCCACTTTAATCATCTATAAGACTTGTTAAAATAAATTGAGAAAATAAGAAATATTTAGTTTCTAACCTTGTAACCTTTGAAATGTAATCCAAGATTATTATTTAGATAAACTAATATACATAATCGAGGTGAAGTTTATGTATGTACTCATTTTTTTCCTCTTCTTGATAAAAGATATGCCATATATATGTTTTTGTAGAATGAAAAATTGTTTATCAAATGAAATGGGTATGTTGAAACGTACTATAAATAGATGAGAATATGTTGATTCGTAATAATATTCGTATATTTATAGAAATTGACATATAATATTTTGTCGTTTGAAACCTACTCAACTCTCATATATTACATTAGAGATTATTTTTTATCGATCGCATATGCAAAACACTCGAGATATACTTAAAAATCGATTTAATATATAGAACGACATATATATATATATTTTCAAATAAAATAAATTATTATGAACGAATATTATCATTGATATTTGTTTTTAACTTTAAGTCACTATTGAAATATATCTTGAATTTTGAACGAAAAGAAAAAAAGATAAAGATAATTGATTAATAAATGTGTTTGTGTTAGCAATATGAAACGTAAAGAATGAAAGAAAGATAAAAAAAACAACTCTAAAAATTATAAATGGGATAAAGAAAAATTGAAACCGGATAGAAAAATAATATTAATTATAAATAAATCTTATTTAAAAATCAGTTGCTGCAATTTCTGTAGCTAAATTATCAACCATATCATCATGATGACTACTTGAACTTGTTGAAGTAACTTGAATCATTGGTTGAGATGGTTGAACTTCAATATTCATTTGTAATGGTTGTCCAATATTGGTTGAACTTACTCTTCTTTCTATTTAACGAAAAAAGAAATAGAATATTTTTAAAATCAAAAGATATTAAATAACCTGTTCGAATAACAGTTGTTGTCATTGTCGTTGTTGCTGCTATTTCTGGTTGTTCACTTGTCATTTCTTGTAAATATTTAAATGAACGTGACGGATGTGTATTCATTTTATTATTATTTAATGAAAGATTTTGTTCATCATATTTATTCATTAATTGTTGTGGTTTGTTATAACCAAGAACGGATGTTCCAACATTTTGTTGATCATTGTCCGTCATCTGTTGTAGAAAACGAAATGAACGTGATGGAACTGTTGAGCCTGTATAACGTGGAGCTTCAGGTTCACGTTCACGAAAACTTGGTGGTGCTAAAAAATTTGAATATTATTATTATTAAAAGAGAAAAATTTGTTTTTCGACTGATCTTACGTTTATTATAAATTTCTGCTAAATCCTCTCGATTATTAATTCCTTGTCCTCGATTAACGGGTCCTTGTTGTTGAGCATCATATTGATCTTGTATATATTTAAATGATCGTGATGGCATATGACCATCACTTCCACGTCGAAGACCAACACCTTCACCTCCTACCATAGTTTCTTCAACTGTTGTTGTTGTTGTTACTGATGCGGCATCATTATCATCACTATTAGTATTACTATATTGTTCTTGTAAATAACGAAATGATCGTGAAGGAAGATTTGATGCACTACCGGAACTATTTTGACGATTAACATTACCCATTTGTTCATCAAGAACAGCTCGAGCAACTATAACATTCAATAATTAAAAAATAAAATCAAAAAAAAACATTCTTTCGAATCAAATAAAGGTTACAATCAGTAGTATATGTAACATATATCCTTCTAATGACAATAAACTATGCAAAGAAGGTTGTTAGAATATATTGAACATGTCAACAAACATAGAAATAATATGAATCTATTTTATTACAAAAGAATGAGCACTCCAAGAATTGCTGATATCATCAATCCATCGGAACATCAATCATCAATAATCTATATACATTATGAAAATATGTAAGGCAAACGAATTTAGAAGAAAGAAAGAAAAACACATTCCTATCGTTTTACAATGATTAACTTTTAATTAATCAACTTTTGTAAGTATAATGAACTAAAGATGATCCATAATAAATACATTATTTCGATAATATAAATTTCCTATTGTCAGTCATATTTCTATATCATTATATGTCTGTATAGGTTATAATCTTTGGCATAATGTAAAGACATCTCTCAAGGTAATGACCAATATAGATAATAAAAGAAAAAAGGTCATAGACAAACCTGCTGATTTATTTATGGCTGCTGCTGTTGTCGTCGTTGCTGTTGGTTGTGATGGTGGTACAACTGGTGTTGGTACAGTTTTTTCACTATCTGAAATCCATCCTTGAAGCATTTGAAATGAACGTGATTGTGTAACTCTAATAGGAAAAAAAGAGAGGATGTTTTGTTTCTATATAAATAAACTTACACATTTGTATCATGTTGTATATGTTTTTTTTGTGGTGTCGGTTGTTGACGAGCATAGTTAAATGATTGAACTGGATTTTGTGGGGCATATTGATGTTGACTCATGGGTTCAGGTGGAACAATCATTCGACGATTCATAGTTATTTCTGATTCTTGTGTTTCGCCTGGTTCTTCACTGTTCGAAACATATTCACGATGACTGAAATAATAAAGAAGTAAAAAAAAAATGAATTATTAAACTGTCGTAAACAAGGTCATCATAATCTCATAAAAGTTCATTGACATACGTCTCTTTTATTATATATTTTATAATATTTTTTAAATGAGTATATTCTTCCAAGAGCCGAAAACGATGATCTACTGAATAATGAAAATAATTAGATTTATTTTCCACAAAGATAATTGTTCCTGACAGGTTATGAAAGGTTTCACACCTAGAGAATACAATTGACCTCTGTCATTGTCATATATTTAGATGATGACAAGTGAAGGTACGTAATAGTGCTTGAAAGAATATACGACCACGACCTGTCATCAACAGTAATACTATAGAGAAAAATGTCATAATTATACAATCGTACCGTCTAACACGAGCAGATTCACGTATTTTAGATAGATCAAGACCACCTGGTGTATATGAAAATGGTTTTGGTCCACCAGGACGACCACCAAGCATTTTAGCAAGTGCAGCCGGAACACTTCCACCGTCCTAAACAAAAAATAAGATTTCGATCGATAATGTGTATTAGAAACTTCATTTACTGTTGTTTGATCACTTGATATATGAGTTTGAGATGCAGGTTGACGACTCTTTAATGAAGCTGCTGCATTTGCAATCATATCAGCATCAAATATGGGTGGTGGCGGGATATTTGCAGCAGGCATTGGTGGCGGTGGTGGAGGAGGAGGCGGTGGCGGAGGTGGTGGTGGAACTGACACCGGAGGTGCAGCATTGAACATAGATGATTGTTGTGGTGGTGGTTGACCATAACCATACTGTTGTTGTTGTTGAAAGTCATGTTGGTAGTACGGTTGTTGTTGCTGTTGTTGAAAGTCTTGTTGGTGATATGGATCTTGTGGCTGTTGTTGATGTTGATAATAAGATTGTTGTGGTTGTTGTTGTTGATGATTAGGTTGAAAGTTTTGTTGGTGATAAGGTTGTTGTTGTTGCTGTTGGAAATTTTGTTGATAATAAGGTGGTTGTTGTTGTTGATATTGTTGCGGTTGTTGTGGATATTGTTGTGGTTGTTGCTGATATTGTTGTGGTTGTTGTTGATATTGCTGTGGTTGTGGTTGATATTGTGGTGGTGGTGGTTGTTGTTGTTGGTATTGTTGCTGTTGTTGCGCAGGAGGTTTCCACACAGAAGCTAAAGGAGCAGGGCGTGGGGTAGTTCCACCTGGTGGATATGAATAACCAACTCTAAAATTATAACAAAATGAATGATGACATGGAGATGAAAGAACATGTCGATCTGTATACATACTTATGGACGGTGAGGAAAAGTGCATTAGCACAACGTTGAATAAGTTCGAGAGCATCCCGATGCATCATATGAGTAACATTATTGCCTGCTACTTCTAGTAGCATATCACCTGGATCTAGTTTACCATCCGCAGGTGATTCCGGAACAATCTAATCATTCAAATCATATGTTTTATTTTTTTTCTCTTAAAAACATAATTATAGTTTCAAAATAAGCCTTATCAAAGCTCATTATTCTATTTATCTAAAGATCTCATCGTTATTTTTCTGCTTTTACTGATTTATGGATATACATCTGTACGATTGATATATTTTGTTTTTCAAACAAGGACACACTTACATTCGTCACTGTCAATGGTTCATTATATTCCAAACCACCTTGAAGTCGAAAACCCCATGATACATTACCATCTTCTCGGCTAATAAAAACTTTACTCATTTGATTTTCTTCAGTTCAGGTCAGACGTCGAATGGTGTATTTTGTATCTTTCTACATATAGATTGAGAACGACTACGACGTTTCTTTTTTTTTTTTGTTTGTTACTCGCTCGTTTAGCCTGGGTAAAGATAGTACCAGTACCCGCCAATACCGGTAATGCCAGAAAAAAATAGGAGAAAGATAAATAATGGCAAAAAAAAGGAGAATCTCGCGCGGGTTTCTTGTCCTTGAGTATGCACAACACCATGCAAATGTATGTATATAATAGTAAAAGAAAGCAGAATAGAAGGATAGTTCTTTCTTCGTCTTCCTACGATCTAGACTAAGCAGATGGATAAGAGAAGAAGAAGAAAAAAAGAACGATAATGCTAAACAATTGTTTTTCCTAAATATGATTGCATTGATGGGATACCGTTATCGTAATATTACGAAGAAAAGAAAGGATGACCCTGTTGCTCAATATAGTTTATACTATCGTCAAATGATGAAGGCCAAAAAAAAATTTGCCGATGAAATACAATTGACAAGAAACTGTTTTAAGACTTCTAGCTTCGTAATTATTTCGAACACTTTATTAATAGATATCAGCTGTTCTTATTATGATTACTCCTCATGGCGTATGTATATACAAAATGTTCATGAAATATAGCATTGACAATGATTGATTCCTATATAATATATAACAAAAACTTTTGATATTAATTATTAAATTCAAATTTTATGTCGAATAAATAGAACAAGATCAATATAATTTAATCTGCTTGAAAAACATTAAAAGCAGATTTATTTGTTCTATAGACTAAAGCAACACAAAACATTTTTCTTTACGGTTTGATACATAAAAAAATACATTTATTAAGATAATAAATAGCGAAAACAAATTTCAAATCTAATCTAATCGAGATGTCGTTTACCATCCAGATACATCATGGCTTCTAAAATAACAAATAAAATAAAATCTCATAATTTTTTTATATTCTTTTATTTACCGGCATAAGTTTGTGGTACAACATTTTTTGTTATTTGTGAATTATCTTTTGTTTTAAAGATAAAATAAAACACATTTGTTGTTTCACGTTTTGCTGTATGAATATCAACAACTTCAGCATGTATACGTGTTTGAATTTTATTTCCTTCGACATAAACAACCATTGATGATAGAAATAATAATGAACCGATTTCGACTGGACGTTGAAACATAATATCATCAACAGCAAGTGTACTTAATTTTTGTTTTCTAAGTATAAATAGAACGATCGTTTGAAAATCTGGACAATTTTTGATACTTACGCAAATAAGCTAGCTGTTGTCCAAGCTAAATCAAATGATTTTCTCATTAAATATCCACCGAAGATTTTATTATATAAATTTCTTTGCTAAAAAAATGAATTAGAAATTCAAAAATAAAAAAATAAAGAAAAATATACTTCTGGATGACCAATATGCATAGTTTTTAGAGTAGTTTCTGACATCCACATTGAGTCTTGATTTAAAAGTCGACTTCGAAATATTGATGTACTGAAAAAACAAATTTTTTTGTTATTCGAAATAGAATAATTTATATTTACTTTGGTGTAACTGTTTTAATAAATAAATCATGAATAATTGAACTTTCTGATGTATCAGGAGGTGTTTTAAATAAAGATTTATCTTGTTCAGTTAATCGACGTTGACGATTTACTATAAAAACAAGTGTTTTATCTAAGAAAAATAAGATTATATGTGTAATCTACATACATTCTCCTTTCCTGATAATTTCTTTATCTTCTTCAGTTGATCCGATTAATGGATTCATTTTTGCCGATCTGTTATTTTTCTTTTCAATAGAAATAAATTTTTAAATAATTTTAGAAACTTACTTTTTTGTTCTTGGATCTCGTGCAGCAAGAACAAAATATGCACGAAGTACATGTTCCCAAGTACCATTATTATCCTAATAATTAGAAAAATATGAAAATTTAACTTTTCTTCTATTGAAATATTTACTTGATCAATTGTTAAAATAACTTCCATAGAAGATTTACCAACAAATGAAGTAAAACCACTTAAACGAACATCTCGATCAATATCCATATGAGGTACTGCAACTTCTATTAAAATAAAAGAAATATTTTTTAAAAAAAATTTATTACTATTTTTTTTTCGTACCTATACGATCAACAGCTGCAGTAACAATTGCTAATGGATGTACATTAATTGATTGAATTATTTGTGGAGCATTATGTTTATATGCAATATGAACTTTAAAAAAAAACAATATTCAATTCGGTTAGTTTTATTAAATTTACCAGCCATTGTATCCAAATCTTCAAGTATTCTTCCAAATCGTACTTTATTATCAAAATTAACATATCGTTCACGTAATTTTATATTTGTTGCTAAATAGTAGAATGAGAGATATAACTTGATTGAACTATTATTTTACCGAATGGAATAATAGCTTCATCATAACTTTCAGCTATTGTACGTGGACTTAATGTAGAATTGACTGTTATATTATCAGTTAATCCAGCATGACTACCACTTTGATTTCCATGACCAAAAACTAATTGAGCACCAACAAGATTTTGTAAAGTTTTTCGAACTAATATTAAAGAAAAATTGAATAAAGTATAAAATAATATCATATTTCATTTACCATCAGTTATAGTTTGTATTGAACGAAATGTTGTTTTGTTTAAAGTACGAGGGACAAATAAAAACACACGATGATGCATAATCTGAAATTAATATTAAAATCGTTCAGTTTTTCTCAATTTGGTTTTCACAATTCATGTAATTGGTTTCGAAATCTTTCTTTAATCCTCTAAAGTTATTAGATATATCGTACGACAATAAAAAGTGGTAGATTATCATAGATTATAAGGAAGCAGACGTGTTTGTAGCATATGTTACAGCTAGTTTCCGTCTTCTTATTGGTGAATAAGCGAAATACTTGTACAAAAACCAATATAGATGTCGTATTGAAGTTCTTAAAACTTTAATATTTACTGTTTATACTCTTCGCAAATGTATTTTTTCAGTACCGATACTTTCTGTTCGCTTCTTTCAGAATACCCATAATTATCTCAATAGTTTATTTTGCACTTTTCATGAAGGATGGTAAGTGAACAGAAAATATATGTTTTACTCAAGAAAATCACAGACTGTCTATACGAAATCGGATCACATATCGTCGAGAAATATCAGGTTAAAGTAAATCCCAAAAGACGTAATGCATACGATAAGATGACACATAGAGAAATTGAGCTAATTATTATTTCACTCTTCTGACAAGAAGTTCGACAAACTGGTTAACTTCAATACGACATACATATATCTTAGAGATTATAATTAATATGAAAACTAGTACATAATCATCCTAGTTTTTTTCTGTGCGTAAAATGTCCTACATTCACAGCATCTGCTTCCAAATTTTATATTTACTACCTATAATGTTTTATTAAAAAGCATACTATTCTACTTTTGATAACAGTTCGTAGGTGATATTTGAGAAATTTGTAAAAAAATATTTGTTTTATTCAATAAAATTAATATTTTCATACGAAATCTACAATAGACACGATTCAATAAGTTCTAATTAGTAGAAATCAGCTAACTCTTATATTCATGTTCGGATTACATGAGTAAAAAGGTTATTTAAATACTTCAGATTTAAATCTAAAAATTTTACTTATAGATTTAAAATTAACAACATTTATCCTACATATTATTTTCATTTTTTGTTGTGTAAATTAAAAAATAGTCTTAATCTGAAGTAAAATTGATTCATTATATTTGTCTTTTGTTTACATATATATATATATAATGAATAAAGAAAAATTAAAATGAATCTATCATTTTTTTTTCTCACACACACTATTTTTGTTCACGTTTTATTCCTAGAATAACTCTCTTTCTATAGACACACACACGCACACACACACACGTAGGAATTTCTCATCAATAAAGAAAAAAAAAGAAAAAACACAGATATTGAAAAAAAAGAAAAATGTGAGCTCGTGTACAGGCGAACATTAGAGACAATATAGAAGTGAAAAAAAAATTACACACAATTGGGCGCACAAAACGAGGAAAAGAAAAAAAAGAGATTTGAGACAAGTAGAGCAACCGTCGATCGAATAAACACGAAAAAGAAAACAGAATAAATAAAGTACGAACAACGGGACGACGTTGTATTAAGATATACAGTAATAGAAAGGAATAAATTTATTTGTTAGGTTCTACATGGCTAGGCAGTGTACTATGTGGTGGTTGTCGAGCTCCGAAACTTTTAAGTACTTGACAAACATGATCGTGTTGCTGAGATTCAGCTAAATCATAAGCAGTTACATCTTGTTCTTCGAAACGAAATTGTTGATCTACATTTGCACCACGTTCACATAAGATTCGAACGGTATCAGCATGGCCCATTGCTGCAGCAATATGCAAACATGAAAGGCCACTCTAAAATAATGATAACAATAATAGTAGAATTGGATAGATATTTATCTACTTACTTTTTCTGTTCCATTAACATCAGCTCCTCTATCAATTAAATATTCGACAATATCTTGAAAGCCTTTTGCACATGCACAGAATAAAGGTGTACGGCCAGCTGTTTCACCCTATTTAAATAATAAAAATTTACAAAATAAATTCTTCTATAGATGATCATCTTACTTTTCCTTCAATTTTATAATTAACATCTAATCCAGCTTCAACTAATAAACGTAAAATATCGAATGAACCAGATTCAGCTGCAACAATTAAACCATTAATTTTTCCATCATATAAATTTTTTGCTTCAACATCATGTCGTGCTCCATGTTGAATAAGCAATCGTGCTAATTCTACATTATTATGTTGACAGATAGCAAGAAATGGTGATGATCCACGTTCAGATGTAACATTAACATTTGCAGCAGATTCAATTAAATGACGAATAATTGTTTCATGATTTCTCATACATGCTATTAATAGAGGTGTTTGATTTTCAATATGAAGATCTCGTGCAACTTGACCTTGTGGTGATCGATTAACATCGGCACCATGTCGAATTAATAATTCTACAACTTCTAAATGACCTTCTTCGGTAGCTGTATACAATGGCGTGGCACCAGTCTGTAGAAAAGAAATAACATTAAAAGAATATAGAAAAATATAGTTTAATAGACATACCATTGTTACAGCATTGACATCGGCACCATTTTGAATAAGATATTCACATATTTCAACATGACCTTTCTTTGCAGCACCAAAAAGTGGCGTCTAGAAAAAAAAACATCAATTTGGTTATTTTTATGTATATATATTACCTGTCCGGCAAGAAAATTTTCTTCAGCTAATTCGCCTTGTGGTGTAATATTAACATCAGCTCCAGCTTCTACCAATGCTTGAACAAGCTCATAATTTCCTGATTCAGCACAAAGAAGTAATGGTGATACACCATAACGATTTTGTACATTAACTTGTGCTCCTTTTTGTATTAAAAATTTCACAACATCTACACGATCTTTTAATGTAGCCATAAAAAGTGCTGTTTGACCAGTTATATTAAGATTATCAGCATCTGGACCGCTTGGTGCAAAATCAAGATCAGCCCCGGCTTCAACACATGCTTCGATTATATCCAGATCACATATTTCAGATGCAAGTAAAAATGGTGTTGAACCCAATTTTGTTACTGCATTTGGATCGGCACCACGTTTGAGAAGTAGTTTAACTACATCAAATTTTCGAGATTTCATTGCAGCATAAAGTGGTGTCCAACCAGTTATATTTAATTCATCAGCTAAATTACCAAATGGAGCAACATGTGTTTGAGCACCAGCATTTAATAGTAATTCAACAACTTGTAACATGCCTTTTTGTGCTGGTATCCATAAAGCACTAACACCATAATGATTTTGTACACCAGGATTAGCTCCACGATCTAATAAATATTTAACTATTTCTGTTCTACCTTCTTTCGCCGCACAAAATAATGGTGTTTGACCACATAAATTCATAGTTAAAGCCAATTGACCTAAATAATTCATTATATAGTTTATCTTTCAAATATAAGAAAAACACAAAACTTACCACTTGGTGCTAATTCAAGATCAGCTCCTGCTTGAACAAGTAATTTAACACATTCAAAATAACCTTGTTCAGCTGCAAGCATTAATGCTGATATACCCGATTGATTTTGATGATTTGGATTTGCGTGATGTGCTAATAAACGTTTGACACATTCTGGATGATTATATTTTGTTGCACCAATTAATGGTGTTGAACCAGCTATTTTATTATCTTCAGCTCGTTTACCAGATGGTGCTGAATCAACAACAGCACCACGTTGTAAAAGAATATCAAGAATATCTGGCCAACCAACTTCGGCAACCATTAATAATGGTGTAATACCGGATAATGATGCTTTGTTGACTTCGACTTCGGGACATGCTATTAAAAACATACAAAAAAAAGTTATTTATCCAAATTTTTTTCTCTTCATCAAAAAACTCACTAGCTAAAATTTCAGTTAAAGATTTGTGTTTTTTTCCGGCTGCTATACTCAATGCTGTTAAACCGTCTGCTTCTCGATAACCTAAATGAGAAAACAAAAACATATATTATTAATTTCAATAAACATATATATTTAAAATAAAATAAAATAAAATACAACTATTTATATATATATCTGTATTATTCAGAAAGTATTGCAAGATTTAAATAAAAATATGTTCGATTAATATATAGAAAAGATTGATCATTATTATTATAAGATAGATAAATGTCTAGAGAATGTTTTTGATTTAAAGAATTAGAAAAAAGATTATTCGGTAATGATATATAATGATAATCATTTATTTCATCGGTATTATTAAGGCTAATTTTATAATGTTTATCAATTGTTATATTAACAAATGAATATAAATAGCATATATAAAAATAAAATTTCAATGGATTTCGATTTATTTTGAAATTAAATGATGTTGATAAAGATAAATCAGTATAATTTGTATATGGTATAGATGTAAGATTCCATAGATGTTCAAGTTTATATAATTGGGAGAAGTTTTTATTTAAGACTTGATTAATACGATTAGGTAGAAATTTTAATATTGTACGATTGTAATTAAATATTCCATTTTTTTCATTTTCTACATCGGATAGCTGAGTATAAATCATTGCTGATAAACGTGTTGAAAGATTTAGAATAAGTTGTTCAAATGCATATGTTAACAAATAAGAATCAGAGTATGTATTATAACTCCAACCAGAATCTGTTAAACCAAAACCACCACATTCACCAAGAACTAATGCACGATCTTGATCATCAATTGCTGGTAAAAAAATATTTTTTGTATAATCATGTATATCCCGCATATGTCCAATCCCTGTACGGTCTTGCCATCCACTAGCTGCATTAATTAATCGTTCAGAATCATAATGTTGAAGCCATTCTCCTAAACGTATTGTATTATATTGACCCCATTCTTCATTAAACAGAACCCAAACAACAATCGATGGATGAAAGGAAAGAAAATCTATAATTGCTTTTAATTCATATTCAAATTGAAGTTTAGATTTATATCGTCGTATTAATTTTGTTCGTGGATTTATATTTTCATTGACTAAAGTAGGTAATGGTAAATTATTTGTTCGATTATCACGATGTAATCGTAATTGTTTATCATGTTCTAATTCAATTTCATAACCTTCGAATGAATCACCAGCAGGCATATCTTGCCAAACAAGCATACCTAAGACATCACACCAATAATACCATCTTGATGTTTCGGTTTTCATATGTTTTCTTAATGTATTAAAACCTAATAATTTCATTTGTTTGATATCATATTTATATGCTTCATCTGTTGGTGCACGATATAAACCATCAGGCCAATAACCTTGATCAAGAACACCATACATAAAATATGGTTTATTGTTTAAACAAATGTTTTTTGGGTTTAAACAAAGTGAAATTTGTCGAAAACCAATATAACTCGAAATTTCTTCAATAAATGTATAACTTTTATATAAATGAATACGTATATTATATAAATATGGATTTTCCGGTGACCATAGATTGATATCTGATAGAGGAAAAATAAATTCATTATCTTGATTACTTTTATTTGTTGTTAAAGTAATTAAATGTTCGAAATTTTGTTTAGATATTATAATTTCTAATTTATATTCATAATTAGCTTCAGATTTATTTAATATTTCATCATATGGAACATTTAATAATCGTTGTTTGGTTTTTTTTAAATCGATCAATTCATATTTTGAATGTAGAGTTGGTAGAAATAGATCAATACGATAAATAAAATGAATTTGCTTCGAAGAAATTTTTGTTTTAAATTGTAAACGATTAATATATACATTTGGTACACGTTCTAACCAAACAGTTCCCCAAATACCTGAACAAGGTGTATAAAGAATTGATTTTGGTTCGTCAATATCTAACATTTGTTTGCCTCGTGCTTGATACCATTGATTTGTTGGATCCCAAACACGTACAATGATTTCGTTATCATGTGTATGATTTAAATACGATGTTATATCATATGAAAATGGTTCATAACCACCTAAATGTTTTAAACCAATAAGACGATTATTTATATAAACAATTGTTTCATAATCAACTTTATCAAAATGTAAAATAATTCGATATTGTTCATTAATATGAAGATGTTGAATATTAAATTTTCGTTTATACCAAAGAAACATTGTTGAATCAATACGTTTTTGTATACCGGATAAATATGATTCAACAGGAAAAGGAACACGTATGAATTGATCATAAATTTTTGGAAATGTTTCATTAATTGAAGTTATTGTAAATGACCAAATTCCATTTAAATTCAACCATAATTTACGTTTTAAATGTGGACGTGGATATTCGTTTAGTGGAATTGACTCGGAAAGAACTTTTTCTGTCCATTGTGTTGAAAAATTATTCATAGATTTCATTGATAATGTAGGTACAAAAGATGAAGGAGGAGAAGAAGAAATAGGGATAAATAATACGTCAGAAGATGGAAGTTTAAATTGAATAAATACAACTATTAGGAATCCAATGATAATAGCCTATTTCATATTATAGAAATCGTAAAAAGAAAACTCTCCTGTATGAAAATACAAAAAAAAAACGATATTTGTTTTTTTGACTTTTTACATACCCATATTAAGTACTTCTTTTTTTGTCGTTGTAGCTTTACGTTTGTCCAATTCATCGAGAATTTCTTTAAGACGTCTAACATCATCTCCTTGTGCTGCATTTAATATTTCAAGATGATAACGATCAATATCACCTTCAGCTTTACTTCTTTTTGTACTTGTACAACCCATTATTTCTGAAAAAAAAACAAGAAATGTCTCGTAGAAATTTTTGTTTAAAGAAACGTAAAAAAAGTATTAAGATAAGTGTTTAAAAAAACTATAAAACGCTTAAAGCTTAATACGTACTTTTGATTTGAGAGACTCATTTCTAACATTAAATTATACAAGTAACCTTTAACTCAAGACAACCCTAAGAAAAAAAAATTTTGTTCGATGAAGCGGAAAAAAAAGAAATGAATAATGATATAAAAAAAAGAACAAATATCTCTCGTAAACATTTTTTTGTTACAGTAAATTTCTTGAATTTATTCTTATCAATAGACATAACTGACGTGAATATGATACAGACAAAAGTAAACACTACAATAATGCACATATATATGTAAGATAAAAACAACAACAATAACATAGTCTGTGAATATTTATTTGTTTATGTTATCATTATCAAGTAAATTAAAATTTTAAAATCGAAATAAGAAGAAAAGAAATTTTTTTTCAAATTTATTAAAATATACAAATAGAAAAATAGTTTTATTTGATTATAAGAATATTTATCTAATGTTTATTTTGAGGTTTGATCGATATATAGATGTCGCTGTAAACATAATATTTATATATTATTTTATTTCTTATGAATTTTTTCATTTCGTGTATAAAAAAATTTCGAAAAAGAAAAAAATAAATATTTTCATTTATTATATTTTAATGAACAATGAATCATACATGTCAAAGAAGATAAAATAAACATTTTTATATCTCGAAAAGATAATTACCATCTTTATCATTAGTTACATATGAATAAATCAATCATATCAGAAGCTTCAAGTATTTGATCATAATCGATGTAAATTTCGTACCTAAACGAAGGACGAAATATCAGTCTACCGATAAAGTCAATACGTAGCTTGAAATCTAAGATATTTAAACATCCTATTTTAGATTATGGGAAAACAAGTTCCATTTACATATTCAAATCATACGATTCTATTAGAAATTCCCAATACGACTTCTATAAATGAACATGCATATCGTATATTAGATCAATGGCAGTTACCAGTTTTTGTTTTTCCAAGTATATATAAATGATATATTCATTTTTTGATTGATATTTTTGTTTCTCCATAGAATTACAAGAAGCACTTCGATTATTTTTCAATGAACAAATTCAAATAGCAGCAGATGAAACAACACAATCTGCTGTTGAACCAATAATCAATGGACAAGTTGAAATTCAAACTATTCTTGATCAATGGTTTAAACTTGTTCAAGTTAGTTATTTATTTGAAAAATCATCATCATCAATTCTCTTCTTGTATTCTATAGGAATGTAAAACTTATATTCATCATCAAGAACGACCTAGTGACGAACAAATATTTTCAAATGCATTTCAAAATGTTCTAGGAACGAATTATGAAATTCTTCTTCAACTTGAATATGTCTATCAAAGTGAAATTGAAGATATGTTAAAACAACGTGATAAACAATTACAAGAACTTGATGCAAAGTTTGAACAAAATTTTTAATTGA